GTCATTTAACAAAGAAAAATCAACCAAAAAAATGAGTTCGCGTGTCACCTCTGACATGCTTGTCATAGGTTCGCCATCACTGTTCTAGAGTGTTCTCTGCAAGTGCAAGCATGTGGATTTGCACTTCCCCACACTAATTGTAGCATACTATACAAACCTTTAACAATATTTTAATATCTTGGCAGCCTTTTATATCAGTATAAAGAGAGCCATCTCATTATCTACACTAATAAAAGAGAAACATGGTAATTGGCGTACGACCGCTACCCTTTTCATTGGCTAATCAGCAAGATATGCAAATTAACTGTCAGCCAAGATGGCAGCCGGCAGCCAGGCAGCTTGAAACTAACATGAGGCTTGCTTGCCTCAGTGACGGAGGATTGTTGGAGGAAACCAACGTTCCCCGCCTGCGGCTGCAGTCCTCTGAGCGGGCAGTTTAAGAAAGATTGTAACAAATACCACTGGACTTCAGCCAGCAGATTCGCAACATTGTAAGCAAAGGCCAGAAACCTACTTTCAGCCTCGGAGGCAGGCCTAAGAGCTGGAGCCAAGCCTCAAGGTAAAGCTGGCCCAGAATAAAAAAAAGAAAAAGAAAAAAAGGAGCGGTTGGGAACTTCAGTCACTCCCAGCCTGAAAACAGCCCTCAGCCCCTCACCCAGACTGGCCAGGCACCCCAGTGGGGACCCCCACTCTGATCCAGGACACCCTTCAGGGCAAACCAGCCAGCCCCACCCAGGCACCAGGCCTCTACCCTACATAGTAAAAGGGTAATATGCCTCCCGGCACCAGGATCAGCGGGACAAGGGGCAGCGCCCAAACCCCCTGATTGCCCTGCGGCTCTGTGTGTGACAGGGGGCGGGGCCCCAACCCCCTGATCAGCCCTGCTCTGTGCCTGATAGGGGGGAGCTCCCCACCCCCCCTCCCCCCCACGGGCCCTGCTCTGTGTGTGATGGGGTAGAGCCATAACCTCCCCATCGGCCCTGCCCTGAGTGTGAGAGTGGCGGCGCCCCAACCCCCTCATCAGCCCTGCTCTGTGAGTGATAGAGGGCGGTGCCCCAACCCCCTGATGGGCCCTGCTCTGTGAGTGACAGGGGGAAATACCCCAACCCCCTGATTGGCCCTGCTCTGTGCGTGACAGGGGGTGGCGCAACCTCCCCATCGACCCTGCCTTGAGTGTGACAGGGGGCGGTGCCCCAACCCCCCAATCGGCCCTACCCTGAGCGTGACTGAGGGTGGCATCACAACCTCCCAATCTGCCCTGCTCTGTGCATGACGGGGCGGCGCCCCAACTCCCCAATCGGCCCTGCTCTGAGCCCGACCAGGGGCTGCACCGAGGGATTGGGCCTGCCCTCTGCCACCCGGGAGCAGGCCTAAGCCAGCAGGTCGTTATCTCCCGAGGGGTCCCAGACTGCGAGAGGGCACAGGCCGGGCTGAGGGACCCCCCCCTCCCCCCCGAGTCCACAAATTTTTGTGCACCGGGCCTCTAGTTTTAAATATATGCATAATGAATATATTGTAACTTAACAGTCTACTATTTTTTTTAATGCTTTTCTTTAAATATTTTTATTGCTTTCAGAGAGGGAGTGAGAGAGAGAAACATCAATGATGAGAAACTCATGGATCAGCTGCCTCCTGCACGCCCACACTGGGGATCAAGCCTGCCACCTGGACATGTGCCCCAACTGGGAATCGACCGTGACCTCCTGGTCCATAGGTTGATATTCAGCTGCTGAGCCATGCTGGTTGGGCTTAACAGTCTACTATTAGTGAACATTCAAATTGTTTTTAATCTTGTTATTGCATGGTGCTGCTATAAATGTTCCTGTACTGTCGTTTTATCCATGTGAGTAAAATTATAATTATCTATAAAACCAATTCCTAGAAGTAAGATTACTGATTTTTAAGGTATGGGCATTGCTAATTGGGTACTTATTCCTAAATTGCTCTACAGATAAGTTGGCCCAATGTAGACTTCCATGAAAATGCCTATTTTTCACCTCTTTGTAAAAAATGTAAGGGAGAGGGAAAGAGAGATAGAAACATCAATGATGAGAATCATTGATTGGCTGCTTCCTGCATGCCCCCTACTGGGGCTTGAGCCCATAACCCAGACATGTGCCCTTGACTGGAATCCGGAATCAAAGCTGGGACCCTTCAGTCATATGGTAAACTTTTCAGACAATGAGTTTCTTACATTCTTTATGGTACAGTGCTTTCTATCATCCAAAGTAATGATCATAAATGTTTAGATTTTTGTCTATTTAAAATTTAGAATTCTTTAAAAGGTACAAGTGCTTTTCTGACTCATAACCTTTAATTTCCTAAATATTTCCAGTGTGAATGTGGGTATAATCCTTATTCTGCTAATTTAAAAATCAAGGAATTCCAGTTTTTTCTACTGGTTTACTTCTCATTAGAAAATACTTTATTCAGTTAACTGGATGGGAGCTTTCTTACTGACCACTCTGTTTTTCAGTTAAGCCAGTAATTCTGGTTTTAAAATTATTTTCTCTAAATTACCTATGTCCTGTATGGATAACTTTCAGTCTCAGGAAAGGTATTGTTTTTAATTACATATTTTGGAAATCTTATTTATTAGTATGTAATTCTTAAAACAACATTTTAAACAGAAAAGTCTGCAGCCTAACATAAAGATGGAAAACTCTTGAAAGATTCTTTTAGAATTAAATTTTTCAATAGCCAGACCTTACCAGTTATATGAAGTAAAAATTTCTTCTCCATTCCCCAAAAATATTGCACTGTTAAGTGTTTGGTCTGTATTCTTCCTGGTGTTTTCATGCATATACAGAGATTAAAGTGTGCATACATGTATATTCTTTAATCGAGTGAATCATAATCCTATATAATAAAAGCCTAATATGCAAATCGACTGAACGGCAGAACAACCAGTCACTATGACACGCACTGACCATTAGGGGGCAGACACTCAACGCAGGAGCTGCCCACAGGCCCCAGGCCAGCCAAGGCAGGTGCCAGCAGGGGGCCCCCCCAATCGCCCTGCTGGTTGCCCGCAGAGGGGGGCGGGGCCAGCAAGCAGACGGCGCCAGGCTGGCCAAGGCAGGTGCCAGGGGCTCCCCCGCCCCCCAATCGCCCTGCAGATTGGCCCTGATCACTGGCCAGGCCTAGGGACCCTACCCATGTACGATTTCATGCATCGGGCCTCTACTCCTATATAATAAAGAGCTGATATGCTAATTAGACCGAACAGCGGAGCGACCTTCTGGAGGACTGTCCGGATGACCTTCCAGACGAGGCCAGGACTGCCAAGGCCAAGGCAGCTGGGGCTGCAAAGTCTGGCCAAGGCAGCCACAGCTGCGAGGGCTGAACCCCTTGCACAAATTTTGTGCATCGGGCCTCTTGTAAATATACTAGTAGCCCATCGCGTGATATCGCGCGCAGTAGGCCGCCCGACGCTTCTGTTGGAGCCGGCAGGAACCCCAGCGGAAACAAGCCGCCAGCGCCCACGGGAGGCAGGAGGGAGCCGCGCTGCTTCCGCGGGAGGTGGGCCCGCCGTTTCCTCTCTGGGCCTGCACTCGGACGCAGAGGCTGCGGGCCAGCCCCTGTCCCTGTCCACTCTGGCTCCAGGGGGCCGGCCCGAACCGGGGCACAGTGACTCACCAGCCCCGCCTCCGTCTCCAGCTCCACTCTGGGCCTCACCTGCGTGCACAACCTCCTCTTGTCTGGTTGTGATCCACTATGGCATCCTGGCCTAATTTGCATATTTCCTCTTTATATATGTAGATAGTTACATATGTCTGTATGTTCTTCTGAATTTCGTTTTTCAGTTAATATATCATAGACTTCTATGTCTGTACATATAGTTACCTCATTCTCTTTGGTAGCTGTATATTACTCCATTCAATTAACATACTAATATTTATTTAACCAATTTCTTGATATAGAAAATTATGTTGTTTCAGTTTTATTAGTGTTTTAAATAACTGAAGTTTCTCCTTTTTTTTTTTTTATCTATACTTAGGTGTAGATTTTGCTTACCATAAGTGAATCTGTGTTGTAAAGGGTCAAAAGCTAGTTTCTCCTTATTTGGAATTGCAACTAATTCATTTGGAAGAAAGGTATCATGTTCCTACTTCATGTCAGGCACTGTGCTAGGCATTGAGGATACAGGGATGAGTAAGATAGTTTTTGCTCTCAAGGACAAACTTTGGGAATGGCTCACTCCATCAGCATATAAATCATGCCATTCCTCCTCAGAGAGGGTAGTTTCTAACTCCTTGGACAAAATGCTAATAATTTTGTGTCAATGAGAAGAATTGTTCTTTATAAAGTCACTGTTTCCAAAAGTCATGGTAAATGAAAACCATTATTTTCTTTAATAACTTTTCATAGTTTATATAGATAATAATGAGTATATTATGGTAATTGGGTGGTATTTATTTTGAAAACAGGTCATTTCTGATCAGACCATTTATTCAGCAAAGAGTTGTTGAACATCACACATGGGCTGGGCACTGAAGTAGTCAGTGAGGATACAAAGATGATTCAGTCTCCGTCCTCATAGAGTTTCAACCTACATTGGGTAGGAGAAAAAAAATGTTTTAGATCCACAGTCACTGAGTCTCTACATAGTACTTATCCAGTAGATGTTCTGTCAATTATTTTTAGAAGCCACAATTAATTAATAGCAATCAGTAAAGCATCATTTGGAAGCCAACTAGCTTCCAAACCTAATTTCTGAAATAATCTATTCTCCCCCTAGCACAGCACTGTTTTCATCATTGAATACAAGTTTTGGGGTAGATGAAATAATTGAAATTTAAGGTTTAAAATTTTAGTGAAAGGCTTTACTTTGGTCATAAGGCAGATTCTAAGAAATTTCTTCTCATCCTATCTAGTATCTGTGCATGTTTTGAAATTAAGGCTGTTACCAAATATGAGTCGTTACGAAGTTTCTTTTGACTTTTTCCTTTGAGACACTTTGTTAGGCTATCTAAATATAATTTCTTTTTCCCCCGCAGCGGGTCCATATGGAATATTTGCTGGTAGGGATGCCTCCAGAGGACTGGCGACATTTTGCCTAGATAAAGATGCACTTAAAGATGAATATGATGATCTGTCAGATTTGAATGCTGTGCAAATGGAAAGTGTCCGAGAATGGGAAATGCAGTTTAAAGGTACCTTTATTTTTTTGGGTTCTTTGGAAATACTCAGTCTTTGGCCAAAGAAAGTGAATGCTATTTCACATTCTTTAAGAGCCCAAGGATCCCATATGTTTTCATCACTATCATTATTTGATAGAGCAATATGATTGTTACATGTGGTTTATAAAATCCATATTTAAAAATTGACTTGTTGCAAACTGTAAGTCTAACAAAAATTGTAATACCTTGAGTGGTATAAGGCTTGTTTATTAAGGCATAGTTTTAAAAAATATATAGGCGTATATTTAAAACTGAACTGATCATTAGTGTTATAGAATAATTATAATTTATTCTAAATGATTTTTTTAATCTTACCATCGAACTATATAGGGAAAATGTCATTTCTCTTTATTATACCCTCGCGACATCAGTTATTACCACCTATGTGACACTTTGGACCTATGTGACCTTTGGATCCTTTGGAACAGTTCTTCTAGCTTCTTGGCACTTGTACTGGTTCTACTGCATAAAGCAGTCCTATCTTATCCTCTTGGTTAGTGAGTTAATTCAATTAACATAGGTTCAAATTCCCAACCAAGAAATTACTGACCATGTATCAACTTGGACATAGCAATGTTCTACATGAAACACCTGGTGACATAAAAACAAGTAATGTAGCCCTAGCTATTTTGGCTCAGTGGATAGAGCATCGACTTGTGGACCGAAGGGTCCCAGGTTCAATTCCAGTCAAGGTCATGTACATCGGTTGCAGGCTCCTACTGGCCCTGGTCAGAGCAAGTGCGGGAGGCAACCAGTGGATGTGTTTCCCTCACATCAGTGTTTCTCTCTGTCTTTCCCTCTCTTCCACTCTCTCTAAAATCAATGGAAAAATATCCTCGGGTGAGGATTTAAAAAAAAAAAACAAGCAATGTAACAGATCTAAGAGGAGAATTTGATAGAAAAAAGAATAGTACATTTTTATTTCATCTCAGTTCTATATAAACCCTAATATATTTATAGATTTTAAATAACTTAGAAATTCCCTATGTTGCCAACTTGTTTCTTTATATTTTGGGCTATTAAGATTTAAAGAACTATTCTGAGAGCCACAGTGCACAATAGAGTTAGAACAGTTTAAGACTACATGTCTCTCTCCAGGCCTAACCCAAGAGCCTGGGATAAGTAGCTCCAAGATGGGTTCTGGACATACATATATATTTTTTTAAACTCTCTGAGTTAGTGGTTCTCAACCTTCTGGCCCTTTAAATACAGTTCCTCATGTTGTGACCCAAACCATAAAATTATTTTCGTTGCTACTTCATAACTGTAATGTTGCTACTGTTATGAATCATAATGTAAATATCTGATATGCAGGATGGTCTTAGGCGACCCCTCTGAAAGGGTCGTTCGACCGCCAAAGGGGTCGCGACCCACAGGTTGAGAACCACTACTCTAAGTGATTCTGATATAGTGTCCTTGATTACGAAGTGGTAGTATGGAGCACTCTCCTGCAAAGCACAATTCCCAAGCTTTATACGTTCCCTAATCCTGTTTTCTTTTATTCAAGCCTTACGTGAGTACAAAGACCAGCCAAGGTGAGCAGTAGGAAAAATTTAGCTTATTCCATATCATTCCAGAACAGGCAAGTGCCTTCCGTGCTGTACAATGGAATAGTGAAACATTTTATTGCTACTGATTTTCTTTTGATGTCTTTCAGAAAAATATGATTATGTAGGCAGACTGCTAAAACCAGGAGAAGAACCTTCAGAATATACAGATGAAGAAGATACCAAGGATCACAATAAACAGGATTGAACTTTGTAAACAACTAAAGTCAGGGGCCTTCAGAACTGCGATTCTTACTCCCTTTCACAGAATGTCCAGCGTCTTTGGGTTTGGTTCACGTGCTGCAAAAAAACATTCAACAGATTGTGTACAAGCTAAATGAATCTCACTATGAAGTTTTGAAAACGACATTATTTATGCTGCCAAACTCATTTGTTACAGTTGTTTGTAATGTCAGTAGGGGCTTCATCATCCTGAAAAGGAGATAGGAATTATTTTTTTATAGAGCAAGAAAGTTACAAGGTTGCTTTTCTTATTTTTTAAAAAAATCAAAGACAACCAGATATGTATTTGCTACTTAAGTATACAAATCTCAAAAACAACAAGGGATTCCTATTTGCTGTGCTGTGCTTTTGTTTTGGTATTGAGGGAGGGAGGAGACCTGGGCAGGAGAAGGCTGGGTGCATATCAATTTGAGTAGTTTAGGCCAGCGGTCGCCAACCTTTCGGACCTCATGGACCACTGGTTGGCGACCGCTGCTCCAAAGATTTCCTTAAATCAGCAGTCGCCAACCTTTCGGACCTCACGGACCACCGGTTGGCCGCCGCTGGTTTAGGTTACTGAAACATGCAAATGTGAATTCCCAAACTTTTACTTTTGGGTTTTGTCAGTGAAAAGGGGAAAAAACAAAACACCTTTATTAGTAGGAAATCTGCATATTAGGAGACAGGATTTCAGGTGGATTTTAAGTTAAAGTAACCCCAACAGTAAGATCATTTGAAACTAGTTTTCATCCCTTCCCTTCACCTAGATCAAATCAATATTACTTGTGCCTTATTTCACTTACATAGACTTGAATTATTTTTAGGGAAAGCCCCTATGTGAATTCAGAAGTCACTACAAGCAGCATTGAGACCGAAGTTGGAATCTTCTGTTGACTGCAAAACCTTGATGTCATTCTGTGTATATAGAATGTAAAAGGAATATTCAGTGTTACTGCCATATATGTTAATATACACAAACTTAATTAGCATTTTAATGGCCAAATGCATTCCCCCATGCTTTTTTCAAAAAAATTGAAAACCAAATCAACAACTCTATCCCCCAACAGCTCCCTAATTTTAGGACTCTAACCCTCATAGCTCACTAGTGTGGGTGCATGGGGCTGAAGTATGGATGTCGTATGGGTGTGTCTTAATGTGTGAGAGCGCCTTGGGAGGGACTCTGCAGATATGTAAATACCAGTACTGTTTTAATAAAGCATGTAAAATAAACCAAAATAAGTGTGAGTTGGACTTTATATGCTAACTGTAAGCCAGTGCATTATGTGGTAGTCAAGATTGTGCATTTGATTCAAGATGAGGAAAAGTCTTGGAAGTGAAAAAGCAAAGATTGGTTAACCAAGTTGTACACGTAGTACCACATTCACTGTAACTTTAGGAAGAAATTCCACTTTATGGAACACTCAAGAAATCTGAGATTATTCAGGTAAGAATTGATATATAAAAAATGTACATATTTTTACTTTATATTTTGTTGCCAACTAATACTAGAAGTAACAGCACTCCAGGTGGTTGTTATTGGACATAAAACAATGAAGTGTATTTTAACAATAGGTATTAAATGCTTCTCTTGTTTGAAAAAGCCCTTACATGTCAGTTACATGATTTCATCATGACTATTTGGTTTTGGGTTGGGGATAAATTACACCAAAAAAGACAAATTTTATTTATACGTCATGAGTTAAAGAAAAGTCTTCTGTTGCGTTATGAGTATGATATATGCAGAAGCCTTCAAAGAAAGGGGAACTTTAAATTACAATAATAAGCTAAAGTATGTAAAATACAGCAGGTCCTCGAATAACATTGTTTTCATTATAAGGTTGAGGAGATGCTATAGAAACTTAAGTGTTGTTTATATCAATTAGCCTATGGTAAAACTGGTTTCATATGTCATTTAAAGTTGCAGAACATATCAACAATGTTAAGTGAGGACTTACTGTACTACATTCTATCATATTCAGTCTTGGAATGTTTTGTAGAAAATGGACTTCGGCCAAATCTTAGCTGAAGACTGGTTGTAAAGATGAAGAATGCTAGTAAATACTTTGTGTGTTTTTATGTAAAATATTTTCTAAACAAATTTGTTAAAGTATTTGTCCTCTGTATTAATATATATATATTATATGAATATATATATGAATACACATATTCATATACATATGAATCATTTGAGCCTGAGTTCAGAAATATACACTTGTGAATACAGAAACCATAAATATTCATGCAGTGAAAATTATATAGTATGTTAAGAAAAATGAGTAATTTTGTGTTTTGGACTCAAAATAAACTGTTCTACAGACAATTCTTCATTTTCAGTTGAGTGTTTCTAATTTTCAGGCAGTGTGTTGGGCAGGTGTTGAGTAAGGGGATGGGAGCTGTGATGGTGGTGTTGCTGTTGTTTTCCCCTTAGCCACTATTTCCCTAACTTGCCTGATTATTAGAACAACTTGGGATGCTAAAAATACAAAACCTTGGATTCCAGTCTAAACCTACACCCACTGGGCTAGAATCGAAAGAGAACAGGTCTCAGACTCTTTTAAAGTAGTGAGGGCAGTTCTTATGATAGGCATGTTTGAGAAATACCACACTGATCTTTTCAAATTATATTGTCCATCTTTGACATCCGCTTAAAAGAGAAATGGAACTTTTTCCTTGGATAATTTGGATTTGATTCCCTGTATTTCACTTTGTATCACTCCCAAAACTTCCTGAGTTAAAAATCAGTTTCACATAAAAATCTATATGATTGAAAATTTTTGCTCAGATTTTTATTTTTTTAATCATTTTTTAAAATATATTTTATTGATTTTTTTACAGAGAGGAAGGGAAAGGGATAGAGAGCTAGAAACATCGATGAGAGAGAAACATCGATCAGCTGCCTCCTGCACACCTCCTACTGGGGATATGCCCACAACCAAGGTACATGCCCTTGACCGGAATTGAACCTGGGACCCTTCAGTCTGCAGGCCGACGCTCTATCCACTGAGCCAAACCGGTTAGGGCAGATTTTTATATTTTGATAGCATCTCCAAGTCAGCATAGGTTCCCAAGTTAAATCTATACTGTGTGTACTAGTCAGTAACTACTAGTAGTTTAATTCTACAAGGAAATAAACCCATTCAGATACAGGCAAATTTTTAAAAACTTGTGTGGGGTTAAGATTATGTTTTCCTCATAGTAATTGTAGATGCTGTTATTTATTTTATTGATTTTTTTTTTTTTTTTTTTTTTTACAGAGAGGGAGAGGGATAGTTAGAAACATCAATGAGAGAGAAACATCGATCAGCTGCCTCCTGCACACTCCCCACTGGGTATGTGCCTGCAACCAAGGTACATGCCCTTGACCGGAATCGAACCTGGGACCCTTGAGTCCACAGGCCGACGCTCTATCCACTGAGCCAAACCGGTTAGGGCTCTAGATGCTGTTAAGTTGCTTTGAGCATAGTGGAAATAAGTCAATATTACAGTGATGGGTCTTTTTTGTCTAGTGAATTAAAAGCAAATGCTCATCGATAGCTTTTGTGTATCATAAAGATCAGGTATCAATTTGGTAGGTGATATTAATCACACAGATTATGATATATTTGTTGTGGCAAGAGAGTTCAATTAAAGACCACCAACCTTTCTTTACTGTTTTCAGAGAAGATTCATCCTCAGGCAGCGTCAGAAAAGCCTGTCTCCTCACCACACTCCTGTGTCAGACAGTGAGACCCTGCGCTTTGCATTTGTTCTACCATCACCCGTGACGGAGCACATTGGGTTGCCTGTGATTACTCCATTCAAGAGAGTACTTGAAGTGCCATGAATACTGGTTTAATCTCAAGAGATTTTTCTATCTTGCTGTGTCTGCATAGGACCCAATTATACAAAATCATGAAGTTCAATGTAAGAAGACTGATAAATAATTGCATATTTCTTTTGAAAGCATGATTTTAATGGCTATTAGTACATAGTATTGTTCCCAAATAAAATTTTGAATGAAAATGCAGGAAATTCCATATAGGGCATGGTGTCAATTTAGCTTAAAGAAAACTGAGGTAAAGCAAAGTTTAAAAACTAAAATAACTGCTTTAGCCTAGTTATAAAAGTAATATGCTCAGTGTACAGAAAAGGATTATGAAAATAAGAATTTACCCAAAATCAAGAGTTAAGCAAAGTTAACCTTTTCCTACATCTCTCTCCATCCCTTTTTATGTATACAGGATCATACTCTGTTCGCCAAGGATTCAGACTTGAGCTATCCATCCAATCATGCTGGGCATCTCTACCTGAAACGAATGCATAATGTTTTCCCCAATATGCTCCTGCTCTTGATATTCTGTCAAAGAGCTACAGGTAGGCCTTCCTACCTCCCACCTCCCTTCTTGTTCTCATCAAATTCATAGTCCCTGTTGGCAATTTAAAGCATAAATTTGACCTCGTTTCCCTGTTTACAGGCCTTCCAGGACTCCCTATTTCCTGAAGAATCAAGATATGGTATAGGCCCTTTTCTCACTTCTCGCTGTATTATCTGCTGCATAAACAACTTGTACCTTCCAGAATGTACCCCTAGCTACTTACCCTGGGTAAACTCCAGTCTTTAGTCTGGATTATACTCTTTCCAAGTGAACTGCCCTTCAAGCGCTTTTGATTAGTTTCAGAGACTCAGTGATACCAGGCCCCATAACATCACAGGTCCTGTTGTTAAATTTTACTATGTTGTTTTGTAATCATCTGTCTCCTCAATAAGCCATGGACCAAAGCATACTCATATTTTAGGCCCAATGTTTTTCCTAAGCTTCATATAATGCTAGATACCTAGTATTTGCACAAAATGTTTTGTTAAATAACTGTAAAATGAGAGGGTAGGCTAATGTCAATAGTTTTTAAATGGCAGCTCCAAACATTAAGGACTGAGAAGAGAGCCTAGGAGCAGCACAGCTCGTTTTTGTTGGATTTGCAAATAAGAATTTCAAGGTTTTAAAAATATATATAATTAACATTTTATATTGAACTAGAGGCCTGGTGCACGAATTCCTGCACAGGTGGCATCCCTTGGGGTGGCCTGTGGGGATTGGGCCCCAGCTCGTGCCCCCAGCCTTGCAGCCCCAGCCCGTGCCACCAGCCTTACAGCCCTGCAGCTCCACCTGGCACCCTGCCTTGGCCTGGTGCCGCCCCCTCACCTGCTCCGCCATCCTGCCTGCAGGGTGATCGATCTGGATCAGAACCCCCACCCAGCTCCCTCAGCACCTGGGAGCCAGGCAGCAGCCCTGCTCCCCGCTGCTGGTCGCTGTCTGCAGGGCAATCGGCAGGGTGATCGGACCCCCACTTGCAACCGCCTTGGCCTGGTGCTGCCCACTCACCTGCTCCACCATCCCGCCGCAGTCCCACTCTTGTTGGGGCCCATTGGGGCCGGCAGTGCCTCCGCTGCCAGCAGCGTGTCGCCAACACCTGGCATGTTTTGTGCCGCACCCTGGTGGTCAGCACACATTATAGCAAGCGGTCGGGCTCCCGGTCAAGGGAACAATTTGCATATTAGGCTTTTATTATATAGGAGGATAATTGTTCCTTGTGTAAAGAATTTTTCAGCCGTAGCCGGTTTGGCTCGGTGGATAGAGTGTCAGCCTGCGGACTGAAGGGTCCTGGGTTCGATTCCGGTCAGGGGCATGTACCTTGGTTGCGGGCACATCTCCAGTGGGGAGTGTACAGGAGGCAGCTGATTGATGTTTCTCTCTCATCGATGTTTCTAACTCTCTCTCTCTCTCCCTTCCTCTCTGTAAAAAATCAATAAAATATATATTTAAAAAAAAAAAAAAGAATTTTTCAGCAACCTAAAATTTTAGCCCACATTTTATGCTGTGAAAGAACTCATGTCTTTTTAAATTAAACCATATCAAGGAATTTGAACAGTTTTTGTGCTATAAAAGAAAGAGCCCTCGCCAGTTTGGCTTGGTGGATAGACCATTGGCCTGCGGACCGAAGGGTCCCTAGTTCAAATCCAGTCAAGGGCACATGCCTGGGTTGTGGGCTCAATTCCCAGTGTGGAGCGTGCAGGAGGCAGCCAATCAGTGATTCTCTCTCATTGTTGGTCTTTCTCCCTCTCCCTCTGAAATCAATAAAAATGTGTTTTTTAAAGAATAAAGTTGGAAAACCAGTGGACTAAATGATCTCTAGTATCCTATCAGTTTATGAATATAATTCAAGGGTAGAACTGTGCCATCTTATAAATATCTAGCAATGCT